CCCTAAACCCCAAACCCTAAAACCTTGAACCCCAAACCCTAAACCCTGAACCCCAAGCCCTAGAACCCGAAACCCGAGGCTCCGCGTCTTCCGCCGCTCTTCTCGAATCCGGAGATCCCGCTGCAGCACTCGAAGTCTGAGCCAACGCTGCAGCTGCGCCCCGGCGTTGCTGTGGCCATAGGGTTTTAGCGTGTTAGGGTTTAGGGATTTAGGGTTAAGGGTTTTAGGGTTTAGGGTTTAGGGTTTAGGGTTTAGAGGTTTAGGGTTTAGGGTTCAAGTACCGAATAGTCATATACTCTCCCACATATTAACCTAGATAACTACTATCCGCAACCAAAGTACCTGATTATTGGGTCCTTTGGACCCTGAGGGAGAGTTTCCAGTGTGGTTCGTTTTCGGGTTTGGCTTACGGGGTCCTAAGTGTAAACTGATTAAACAAGAGAAGGAACTACAATGGAGACTATAGATAGGGCTACTGCGCGGGCTCTATACTCAGGATTTCTTGAATGGGGTCCTTCAAGGTTACGGCTTAGGATTTGGGTTCAGGTTGCGAGGTTTGGATGTCGAGGTTTAGGATTCCGAGGTTTAGGTTTAGACGTCTGGGTTTGGTGTTTTAAGGGTTTAGGCTTAGGGTTTAGGATTTTAGGTTTGGAGTGTCGGATTACGGGTAGGGGTCCAGCCCTTGAAGCTTGTACTTGCAGGGTGTCAGTGCTGATGTCGCGCGTTTGGCCTATGAATAGGGTTGAAGCTGTGAAATTTAAGAACAACAAGAAGAACATTCAGCATCACATCTAGGGCCTACAAGGGCTTGGGCATTGCATGCTTTCCATAGTTAAGAGGAAGGGCGTAGGGTTTAGGGTGGAGCAGGGCATGGGGTTACTATGGAAGCCTGGATAAGTTTCGAGTGGATTTCGATACCTCATGTAAGGCCCTAAACTCAGCGAGAAGCTCGGCTTTCTGGGAGATTTTCAAAGGACTGGCGTCGTAGCTGAGAGCGAAGCGAACCCGATCCTGCAAGAAGAGGAGCAGGAGGAGGAAAAGGAGGCCTGCAAGCTTCGAGTTCAGGGTTCAGGGGTTTAGGGTTGAGGATTTGGGTTTAGGGTTTAGGGTTAAGGGTTTTGGTTTAGGGTTAAGGGTTTTGGTTTAGGGTTTAGGGGTTTAGGTCCGTAAGTCAAGACTTTCAGGGCTTCGAGTTGACAGCTTTAGGGTTTTTGGGCTTCGTCCTTTTGGGTGTTGCGGGATGTAGGGCTGTGGTGGACCGAGTACTCGATGCAAATGGGGACGCCCAAAGCCCGAATCTACTTCTTTAGGCTTCACAGGTTTTAGGGTTTAGGGCCTGTCTAGGGCTCTACAAGGACCCCGGATACCCGTATATTTAGGGGCCTTAAAAAATAGCATAGGGTTTTCGGGGATGCTTGTTATAATTATAGTATCCTATGCCCCAGGTTTAGGGTTTAGTTTAGTAAGTCCTAGTGTAGAAATGCTACCTTTTACCATGGTAGGTACTTTGGATTTTTTGGGTTGTTTCATGTCCTGACCCCTAAACCCTAAACCCTAATCCCCTAATCCCCTAAACCCCTAAACCCTAAACCCTAAACCCTAAACCTAACTACGACAGCCCAAATCCTAACCACGAAAGCATGGTCTCCCTAAGCCTAGGCACTTTCTCCCTTGCTGGTGGTCTTCGGCTCCTTAAAGCAGTTTAGGGTTTAGGGTTTAGAGTTCATGGTTTAGGGTTTAGGGCCTGAATACCAACACGGGAAAGCCCCGTTCATTCCTAGGTTACCGGGGCTTCCAACAAGCCCGAAACCTTAAACCCCCAAACCCTAAACCTTCAACCTTAAACCCCCTTAAACCTTAAAACCCTAAACCCTAACCCTCAGACCTTAAACCTAACAAACCCTAAACCTTTGACCCCAAACCTAGAAGACAAACCCTCGAAGCCCCTACCCGGAGCCCCTAAACCCTAATCCCCTAAACCAAACCCCGAAACCCCTAAACCCTAAACCCTTAAACCCTAAACCCTAAACCCCTAAACCCTTACACCCTAAACCCTTAAACCCTAAACCCTAAACCCCTAAACCCCTTAACCCCAAAGCCCTAGACCTAAACCCCTAGACCCCTAAACCCCTAAACCCAAAACCGTAACTAGACCCTAAACCCTAAACCCTAC